TGGACCACTAGGTCACATTCGATGTCTCTGAGGCAGTCTTCAACGCCTCTTGGTCCCTAGTGTGGTATGAGCCCCATCCCCATGCCAGCCTACAAACAGCAAGAAGTCACACAGCCCAGCCCACCTGGGAGGAAGAGCATGGTATTGAAACTGCCCTTGGCCTTTCCTCATTCCTCTGGCCTTGAATCCTGGTTAAGCCACTGGATCTTGAGGCAGGGCCACCCCCGTGTATGGTATAGCAATGGTCACTTCCTAGACCACCTAACAGTTCCAAGGCCTGAAACTTAGGAACCTCACCTTTAGGAAGGTGAGCTGAACGTTGCCATCCTGTTACAGACTAGAAAGGTGGTGAGGTTCTCTCATAGCCAACCACACTGCCCCGCCCCACCCCCTGTTATCCCCAAGTGCATGCTATATCACAAGGCTGCCATTCAACAATGGGAACACCAGGCTTCGAATTATTTTTGTAGACGCCTCCAGACCTTGGCCCAACATACATAAACTCCTATAGCAAGTGTCCTCAAATACCTTACTAGGTTTATATTAGGTGACTGGATATTTTGGCATCTTTACTGGGCAGGTTACTTGCCCCAAGCTATGGGGTTTGTAGCTAATTTCCTTCAGGAAAACTGCTTTTGTTCTAGGCTGTGTCATGACAGCCTAGCTAGAGGGGAGTGCTGTGGTCTGCTTCCCCAGTGACATCAGGACGTAAAGTCCTCATCCCCAATTAATTTAGCTCTAGAGGCCCCATTCTGGCTATTTCAAAACTTCATCCCTGCTCTGAGCTTGTCTGTATCCTACCACTTGGGAGGTAGAGGCAATGGGATCGGGAAGTTCAAAGTCATCCTTGGCTACATCTCAAGGAAAACCTCACTGCACGAGACCCTACCTCAAAACAACAACAATGAAAGTTGTGGGGGAACTCGGATCAGCTGGTGGAATGCTCACCTAGCAAGCAGGAAGCCCTAGGGACACCACTTAAACCAGATATTGTGGCACATCCCAACAATCCCAGCACTTAGGAGGTGGAGGCAGAGATCAAGGTCATCCTCAGCTATGTTGCATGTTTGAGGCCTGCCTGAGCTACAAGACACTCTGTCTTGGAAAGAGAGAAGAAAACTTTACCCTTGTGCGGGAGCGACATTATCCCTAAGCCTGGGCCTTTTGTGTAGGTTCAGTGGCTGGTCAGGCTGCTCTGGCTTTTGCAAGGAAGCACAGTCTTGTCTTAGGCTGAGCTGAAAGAGCTGTTCTCTGCCCATCCAGGGTCCCTGCTCTGTAAGGATGCAAGAGAAAGGCCCACCTGGGCCTGTCTGCTGCCGTGCAGAGGGTGTAGCCAAAACAACCGTGTATCTAAAACTTTTCAGAAGGACCAGAGAGCCCGTGTCTTTAAGGGAAGGCAGAACTATCATTATGTATAAAAATAGCATGGCGTCTTGTTGGCCCCGGAAGAGCTGCTTTTACAAATCCTGCTCCAGATTTACACCATCAGCCTAGAATGAAGGCTGTGTAACAAACGGCCTCATAATGTTAAATAATAACAATAACAATTAATAATAATACATCAGCGCTCTCCTGCTTTGGGCCAAATGGGTCACATAGGCCTTCTGTTTGCCCCACATGTTCTCACAAAAGGCAGTGACTTGCACTAAGGTTTTAATACTATGAAGTTTGTTGGGGAATATTGTTTTCAAGTGTGTGACTTTTGTTTATGCTGCATTTGTTTAACTCTATGAAGCTGTGTTACTTTGCCTGTCTAAAACACCTGGTGGGCCTAATAAAGAGCTGAACAGCCAATAGCAAGGCAGGAATAAGGGTGGGCGGGGCTGGCAGGCAGAGAGGATAAATAGATGGAAAAAAAGAGGAGCAGCAAGAGAACAAGGAGAGGAGGACATCAGGCTTCAGCCAGCCACGGAATAAGTGAAAGTAAGATACAAAGGAAAAAGCCCAGAGGCAAAAGGTAGTCGGGGATAATTAAGAAAAGCTGGCAAGAAATGAGCCAAGCTAAGGCCGGGCATTCATAACTAATAATAAGCCTCTGTGTGTAATTTATTTGGGAGCTGGGTGGTTACCCCCACCCCAAAAAAACCCCAAAAGAGTAAAACGTCACATTATAGAAATTAATCTTAGTCTGACTCATTTTTCAGACCCTGAACCTCACACATACTTGGTAGTCCCACTATTCCTTCTGTCACTGAACTGCAACCCTAGACTTCCACTGTTTGATGTTAGTGATTTTTAACAAAGACTATAAAGTTCTGTGTATGATTGTTTTGCCCACATGATGGATGCATGTGTACCGTGTGAGTGCCCAAAGGCGCAAGAAGAGGACATTGGGTCCCCGGGACTGATGTTGCTGCCATGTGTGCTGGAAACTGAACTCGGGTCCTCTATGAGGGCAGCAAGTACTCTTAACCACTAAGCCATAAGCCATTTCTCCAGCACTGTGGAGTTAAGTTTTTAAGACAATGTTTCACCCTATAGGCCTGACTTGTATAGAACTTAATGCAATCCTCCTGCCTTAACCTCCCGAATGCTGGGATTACAGAGATGAGCTACCAGGCCCAAATTTTTGCTCTCATTTTACATTTTATTTTCTTTATTTATCTATTCACTTATTTATTGGTTTTCCAAGACAGGTTTCTCTTTGTAGCCCTGGCTGTCCTGAACTTGCTCTGTAGACCAGGCTGGTCTTGAACTCACAAAGATCCACCTGCCTCTGCCTCCTGAGTGCTGGGATCAAAGTGTGCACCACCACTGCCCAGCTACTTTTTATTTTGAGACAGTGTCTGAGTTGTCTAAACTGTCCTTAAATTTGTGGTATTCTTGCCTCAGCCTCCTGAGGAGTTGGGGTCTTGGGCCTATGGCATAGTTTCATGCTTTTGTTGTTATTGTTTCTTTTCTTTTTTAAGCAAGGTCTCGGGAGACTCAGGCTGACCTTGAACAAACCTTACATATCATAGGGTAACCTTGAACTCCTGATCCTTCTGTCTGTACCTCCTCAGTACTGGCTTACAAGTGTGCACGTCCACACCCAATCTGTGTAGTCCTGGAGACTGAATCCAGGACTTCACGCGTGCTAGGCAAGCATTCTGCCGCCCGAGCTCCATCCCCAGTCCTGTTTTTGTTTGTTTGAGACAGAATGTCATCAACTTAGAGTGGCCTCAAACTCCTGCTCCTCCTGCCTCAGTTCCTTGAGTCCTGGAGTTAGCATGCAGACTATGTGTCAGGTTAGTGGTACTTGTTCGTTGGGACCACCAGCCTGACACAGAGACTTATTAGTAATTATAAAAGTTCCGCCTTGACTTAGGCTTGTTCCTAACTAGTTCTTATAACTTAAACTAACCCATTTTTTTAAATATACATTCTTCCATGAGGGTCATTACCTCATGTCTATGCTGCCCATCCTGCCTGCAAGTCTCCTGGGTTCCTGGCCCCTAGATTATCCCCTCCTGTCTCCTCTCTGCCCAGAGGTCCCACCTGTACCTCCTGCCTCGCCATTGGCCGCTCAGCTCTTTATTAAACCCATCACAGCAATATCTCTTTACACGGTGTACAAATTTCCCACAACACACTTGGCTCATAGTTTCACTTTTAATAGAGAAAATACTCAAAGACTCCCTAAACACCCAACAATAAGGACTATTTAGATGGTGTTTAGAGCTTAAAGACAACAGCATTTCCTGCCTCCACTAATAGTGTGTATGTTGGTCTACCCATACAAAGCTGTCGTGATATATTGTTACACGAGAAAGGCAGGTACAGACAAAAATAGTGTGATTTGTATTTGTACATTTTGTGTGTGTGTTGTGTACATATATGTGTGTGTACGGGCAATGCATGAGGAGATAAAGGTCAACTTGCCCGAGTTGGTTCTGTTCTTCCACAGTGAGGGTCCTGGGGATTGAACTCAGGTTTTAGCAGCAACTGCCTTTACCCACTGAGCTATCTCACTGGTCATATATATATATATAGGACCCTGTGTGTGTGTGTGTGTGTGTGTGTGTGTGTGAGTGAGCGTGTGCGTGCGTGTGCGCGCCTGTGTGCGCGCACGCGCCCACAGGTTCTCTATGGAAGCTAGAAGAGAACGTTCCAGCTCCTGAAGCTAGAGTCACAGACGGTTGTGGCTGCTTACTAGGAACCACACTCTGGTTCTCTGCAAGAGCGCCTAGAGCCCTTGAGTAGTGAGCCACCTCTCCAGAGTCTCATGTTTTGTTTTTGTTTTTTTCTTTTTGAGACAGGGCCTCACTGTGTAGCCTGGGTTGGCCTCGGACTCACAGAGACCCACCTGCTTCCGCCTCCTGAGTGCTGGAATTAAAGGCCTGCGCCGCCACCACCCACCTCAACTAATTTTTGTTGTCATTGTTGGCTTTTCACCTTTCTGCACTATTTGTTTTCTACATCAAGCAGAAAGAAATCCCAAGCTGGTTGGTAGCACATGTCTTCAATTCCAGCAGTCAGGAAGCTGAGGCAGAAGATCATGAGCCCCAGGCTAGCCTGGGCTCCACAGTGAGATCCTGTGCAAACAAAACCATCCAGAGACCTGAAGGACCAGATAGGAGTAACCCTGGAGCATGTAGGGGAAAGGGCATTTCAGGGGCCTGGAGAGAGAGCTCAGAGGTTAAGAGCACTGGCTGCTCTTCCAGAGGTCCTGAGTTCAATTTCCAGAGACTACATGGTGGCTCACAGCCATCTGTAATGAGGTCTGATGTATATGCAGGCAGAACCCTATATATGTAATAAAAACAAATAAATGAAATTTTAAAAAAGAAATGTATGGATTAAAAAGAGAGAGAAAGGAAGGAAGAAAGAAAGGAAGAAAGAAAGAAAGAAAGAAAGAAAGAAAGAAAGAAAGAAAGAGAAAACAGCATTTCAAATGGGAGTGACAGCAGCCAGGCCGGGGCTTCTGAGAATAGCCTGTGTCATGGTGACGCTGAGGGCATTAATAAGGGCTCTCTGACTTCCTCACCCTGTGTTGTTTGCCCCCGACTTCCCTCCCCCAGACTTGCACCTGGCAGCCGAGCTCGGGAAGACCCTGCTGGAGAGGAACAAGGAGCTGGAGGAGTCCCTGCAGCAGATGTACTCCACCAATGAGGAGCAAGTGCAGGAGATTGAGGTGAGGGCCTTGGCCCCTGCACTGCCCCTCCCCCTCGCCTCGAAAGTGTCTTTGGCCTTGGCCTGTGTGCACCTTTGTGCAACTTGCAGAAGGCGCCGCAGCTTTGCGCTCAAAGCTGAACTAGGCAGCCTACCCCAATCCGAAGCAAACACCACCACCCCAGCAGCCTACTGCACCTGGTCTTCGCCCCCTGCTCAGTTGAACACAAACCTCTCAAAGCCGGTTGGTCTAGGGGTGGTAGGAGGGTCTCTACCTTGTTGTAAAGTTTGTTCCACCCTTAACCTCCTCCCCCAGTACTTGACCAAGCAGCTGGACACGCTGCGGCTTGTGAATGAGCAGCATGCCAAAGTGTACGAGCAGCTGGATATGACGGCCAGAGACCTGGAGCTGACCAACCAGAAGCTGGTGCTGGAGAGCAAGGCTGCCCAGCAGAAGATCCACGGGTGAGGGACAGGCCCAGGCCTGAACACACGGGCATGTGGACTGCTGGGGAGACTCACGCACTCCTAGAAGGCAATGCTGGGGAGCCTGGGGTGGTAGCGAGGCCATCCCTGTCAGCTGTGTGGACTTAAACATTCATCCCACAAACAACCTTATTTTTTCCAAGATGGGGGTTTCTCTGTGTAGCCCTGGTGTCCTGGGACTTGCTCTGGAGACCAGGCTGCCCTTGAACAAACAGAGATCAGCCAGCCTGCCTCCCGAGTGAGTGCTGGGATTGAAAGTGTGAGCCACCACCACCCAGCCCTTCCTTTCTTTTTAAGATTTTTTTTGTTTTGTTTTGTTTTGTTTTTTGAGGCAGGGTTTCTCTGTGGCTTTGGAGACTGTCCTGGAATTAGCTCTTGTAGACCAAGCTGGTCTTGAACTCAAAGAGGTCCGCCTGCCTCTGCCTCCCGAGTGCTGGGATTAAAGGTATGCGCCACCAACGCCGGCAAGATTTATGTTCTTATTCTGTGTGGATGGGTGTTTTGCCTGCATGCACGTCTGTGCACCACGTACCTGAGGGCCATGACCTGTGAGGCCAGGGAGAAGGTGTAGGATCTTCTGGAGCTAGAGTTGCAAATGGTCATGGGCCACCATATATATGGGTGACAGGAACCAAATCCAGGTCCTCTGCAAGAGCAACAAGTGCTTTTAACCACTAAGCCATCTCTCCAGCCCCCCACAACCTATGGATGAAAAGTCACCCATATTCCAGTAAATAACCCGCCTGTGGTTATGCACCAATCATGCAGCAGGCTCAGTTTGAGGCACTAAAGCTTCGGTGACTCTGACCTGCCTCTGGGACCTCGCAGATGGGAAGGAAGGCACACATGTAAATGGTAGTGACCCAGGGATGTGCAAGAGCCTGAGGTGGGGCCGGGGAGGTGGCCTGGTTGCTAGAGGGCTTGCCGCACAGGCATGAGAACCGGATTCAGGCCCTTGCACCTGTGTAATTAAATGTAGGGCACGATAACAAGCATGTGAATCTCAAGCTGGGGCTGTGGTGATGGGTGGATCCCGCCCTGGCAGAGTCAGCCACCCTGCGTCTAGTAGAAGCCTGTCTGAATAAACAAGGTGGGTAGCTTGTTGAGGTCATCCTTGGACCTCCACACGTATACACACACACACACATCAACATACACACATGTACACAGATACAGAAGGACCAAAGGCAGCTGAGGAGGAGTGATTGGCTCTGCCTGGGATGTATAGAAGGGCAGGTCCTTGGATGTGGCAGAGAATTCTAGGACTTGTATATCTGCACACCAGAAGAGGGCACCAGATCTTACCATGTGGTTGCTGGGAATTGAACTCAGGAAGAGCAGTCGGTGCTCTTAACCTCTGAGCCATCTCTCCAGCCCATGTCTGTTCTTAATTCCATGTCCTCCATCTACAAGGTTCCCAGCAGCAGTGAGGAGGCTGTCCCTGTCTCCTTAAGACTTCCCCTGGGGTGGGGCTTGAGAGATGGCTAAGAGGTTGAGAGTGTTTGCTGCTCTAGAGCCAGGGTTTGGTTCCCAGCACTCACAGTGAGTGGCTCACAATCACCCAGTTCTGGGGGATCCAGCTCCCTCTTTTTGCCTCCTCAGGCACCTACACACACACACACACACACACACACACACACACACACACACACACATCAATCTTAACATTTTCATTGTAGGCCTAGCTCTTAATGGCTGAGCCATCTCCCCAGCCCTGACAATCTTGAAAACAAACAAAAATACATCTCCCATGGGTGGTTCGTCCTATTCCAGGCTGACAGAAACCATTGAGCGCCTGCAGTCCCAGGTTGAGGAGCTGCAGGCCCAGGTGGAGCAACTGAGAGGCCTGGAGCAGCTTCGGGTTCGCCGGGAAAAGCGGGAGCGCAGGAGAACCATCCATACTTTCCCCTGCCTGAAGGAGCTGTGCACAAGCCCCCGGTAGGCAAGGGCCCTGGCGTGTCTTTGAATCCCAAGAGTTCTGGCTGAAGGACAAAGAGGGAGCATGGTGGACAGTTGTCGGGGAGGAGGATTGTGTCTGATCCAAGCCATCAGGATGCTTGCTAAGGACAGCCATGGTGTACTATACTAACGTAACAGTCATCACATCCATTCTGCCTACAAGTTAGATGAGAAAAATCTAAGTTTGGTGGTTACATGGCTCACCCAGTGTGTCATGTGTTTAGAGCTTGGCCCAGCCAGGCTTCTAACCTAGCAGGGGTCCAGCACTGTGCCTTTTGGTTCCCATTAAATCTTTTTTGTGTTTATCCAAAAATGTGTTTATTGGGATGGTTCCCACTCATCGGGAATCGGGTGCTTTTCAGTGCTGCTTCCTCCTGAAGGAGCATTCTTCTGTCAGCCTTGCTTTTCTGCCTGTGGGCTGACAGAAGACAGTGGAGCAGCCAACACACAAGACTACTGTTTGTGCATGGCTAAAGACCGTGGTGACCTTATAGCATCCTGGGCACTTCACATCCGTAAAGTAGGAATTGGGGCTCTGCACCAGGCATTTTTTCTTGTGTTTCCTCTTTTCGTCTTCTGGAGAGGGGTGAAGGAGATCCTTTTCGAGAGGCATGTTCTCATAGGGAGGTGGTCACAACCGGAAAAGCTCCCATTAAATCTTAATTCAACAACTACTTAATGTAAGAATACAGGACTGAGGATGTAGCTCAGTTGTATAGGTACTTGCCTAGAATGTGAGTTGCCCTGGGTTCGATCCTCAGCCTAAAACAGGAGAAAGACAGATTAACAAAGAGGATCAAGATGAGGCTGGAAATGGGGCTCAGTTGGGAGCCCATTTAACACTCACAAGGCCTTGAGATTGATTCCCAACACCTCCTAGGAGTGGTGAAGCACACGTGTAATCCCAGCATTTACAAGGTGGAGGCAGGAGAATTGAGAGGTCACAGTCATCCTCAAGCTAGAGAGTTCAAAGTCAAACTGAACTGTCTAAGGTCCTGTTTAGCCAGGGGGTGGTGGCACATGTCTTTAATCGCAGCACTCGGGAGGCAGAGGCAGACGGATCTCTGAGTTTGAGGCCAGCCTGGTCTATGGTGAAAGTTCTAGGACAGCCAGAGCTGTTACACAGAGGAATCCTGTCTAAAAAATAAAATAAAAATAAAGATTAAGAAGTGTGTGTGTGTGTGTGTGTGTGTGTGTATGTGTGGAAACTAGGCCCAGGGTTGCAACAGAACAGGGCCACTACCATCCCTAGGCCTCAGTGTCTAGAGGAAGAGAGATTAATTACCATCTCTAGAAGGTATGGAGCCGTCTGTCTGGCCAGCACCAACCAGGGAAAGAGCTTAGACATACCCAGAGAACTCCCTTTGTTCCCACCTTCAACCGTCCCTTGCTGAAGAATCCTAGATGAATCCATGTGGGTCAGCATCCTCAGACACAGCCCGGAGAGAAAGTTAGAAGGGTGGGTGGTGCCTCAGAGGGGCAGAAGGAAGAGACAGGTGGACAAGGCAACCCAGTGTCTGACACTTTGGTCCAGGCCGTGGCCATGACTTAACTATCACTTCTGTCCCCTAGCAGGTGTGAAGATGCCTTCCGCCTGCACAGTTCCTCATTGGAGCTGGGCCCTCGGCCCCTGGAGCAGGAGAATGAACGACTGCAGACCTTGGTGGGGGTGCTGCGTTCCCAGGTGAGCCAGGAGCGACAGCGCAAGGATCGTGCAGAGCGCGAGTACACAGTGGTGCTCCAGGAGTACACGGAGCTGGAGCGACAGCTGTGTGAGATGGAGGGCTGTCGCCTGCGCGTGCAGGAGCTGGAGGCCGAGCTGCTGGAGCTGCAGCAGATGAAGCAGGCCAAGACCTACCTGCTGGCCCGGGATGAGCACCTGGCCGAGGCTTTGCTGGCGCCCCTCACTCAGGCCCCTGAGGCTGATGACCCCCAGCCAGGCAGTGGGGATGCCTCCAATGCCCAGGATGGTGTCTCCTCGCCTGCAGCCTCCCCCAGCCACGCAGTGCGCAAAAGCTGCAGTGACACTGCGCTCAATGCCATCGTGGCCAAAGACCCAGCCAGCCGTCATGCTGGCAACCTCACGCTGCACGCCAACAGCGTGCGCAGGCGCGGTATGTCTATCCTGAGGGAGGTGGATGAGCAGTACCACGCGCTCCTGGAGAAATATGAGGAGCTCCTGAGCAAATGCCGGCAGCATGGTGCCGGGGTGCGGCACGCGGGCGTGCAGACCTCGCGGCCCATCTCCAGGGACAGTTCATGGAGGGACCTACTGGGGGGCGAGGAGAGCCAGGGAGAGGGTAAGACGGGTGAGAAGAGCCTGAGCCAGCACGTGGAGGCTGTGGATAAGCGGCTGGAGCAGAGCCAACCCGAGTACAAGGCACTCTTCAAAGAGATCTTCGCCAGGATCCAGAAGACTAAGGCAGACATCAATGCCACCAAAGTCAAGACGCACAGCAGCAAGTGACCCCTCTAGGCCTGCAGCCTCCCCTCCAAGGGGGGTCCCTCATGCCTGGATGGCAGCCTCTTGAGAGCCCTAGCAGGTGGCTGGAGCATGAGCAGGAAGGCCTCTCTGACCTGGGGACACAGCATGTTTCCTACTGATGGCTTGGATTGCCTGCCCTGCTGCCCTGACCGCTTTGCTTCAGTTTGAAGGCACAGCTCAGTTTAAAAGCCAAACACCTTCCCTCACTGTCCCTGGGGGCTTCTCAGCTCTCTGCTTCTAGACCCCCCTCCCCCCGCCTTACCCCCAGATTGTGGCCAGTCTTCTGCAAGACTTTCTTGCTCAGCTGGCTTCCCCCACCCTACCCCTTACCCACAAATTTCTTTTTCTGAGAGATCTGCAATGCAAGGTCTCCTTGAGCCTTGCCGCAACTGGAAACACTTGAAAGGGAACCTCAGAGCCAGCCATTGCTGGTGTCTGGGGTCTCCTCGACCATTCACTGCGTTCTCTGCCAGCCATGACTGTCATTCCCATAGATGTACCACTCCCAGAGTTCTGAGCAGGGCACGGGTAGCTCCCACTTTATAGAGCAGGGCCCCCTCCAGCCCTGGCAAAGACCTTCAGCTCCCCACAGATCTGCAGCCAATTTGAATACAGGAAGAGGGAAGCACTCAACAGCCATACATGGGTAGTGTCCATTTCCTCTCAGAGCCGACCTCCTCAAGCTCCATCCCTGGAAATACCTTCTGGGCGTGAAGCCTTCCAGGGGCTGGGCTGGGCTGGGCTGGGGTGGGGGCTCTAACACCTGCTTCCCTTCCCTTCCCCGCTCCTGCCCCATCTCAGGGACCATGACGTCTCATCCACTCCTCACTTCCTCAGGCCAGCCCCAGTACAGTTCCCATCTGCAGCCTCCAGAATGTCCTGTTCGGGTCCCAGTGTCCATCCCTGTCTTTCACCAGGGACTGTAAGTTCTTTACTCCATGTTAAGTATTCTTAAATCGAGGAAGAAATTCCTCCTTTCCCATGTTCCTACAGAATGCCTGCTCTTTACCTCCCACCTTTGGGGGGGGGGCGCTTTTGAGGTCCAACCTGGGTCAGGGGTTCAATATTTTAGTACAAAAGTTTCAGCAAGTCCAGCTTTGTCTAAGAGATGCCCAGGTCCCCAGCTTGCCTTCAGCAGTCCTTCCGGGCTTCTGGTTCCTGTCTGACACCCTTTCCAAGACCCCAGAAATCAAAGGAGCCATAGAATCCAGTGGGAGGCGGTGACTGCCTCTGCTGGCAGCCCAATGGGAACCCTCATGCCTTACCCCCTTCTTATGGGTAAAGGGGCTTTCTTATCAAGCATGTCTGACATCCCTGGAGAAGCAACCTTGCTCCAGGTGACACTGTGACGCCAGAGGGCATCTGGGTCTTTCTGCTCGTGCAACTTGGAACCTTTCGTCCTTTGGGGCTGGGCACCTCCGGGCCCTCTGAATCTCTCTGTCATCTAGGGTAAAGGAGGCTGCTCAAGCCTGTTCACTCCCAGTTCTGTAGCAGCCGACCAGTGTCACCTTTGAAGTATACATGAGAGAAATATATTTACAAATGCTTTATTCTCTTCTTTAATAAAAAATGCACCAGTATTCTAAAAGCAGAAATGGCCCAGAGCCTCAGTTTCTTCTCTGTCTTACTGGTTTGCAGCCTCTCATGCACGATGAGGGGTGTATCTGAGTTCCACCCCCCACACACACACACCAAGTTCTGCTTTTCTTTGAGGTCACTCTGCCCCCTGAACTCTTGGCAAAGTCTGTGTCTGCAGAGCGAGCTATGCCAAGCATGCTCATAAAGAAAACACAAAGGTCTATTGCCTTAGGGTTGCTTGGGAAGACCTCCCCCTCTCTCTCTCCCTCCCCCACACTCGGGGTCAGGGAGCTGGAGCTCTATCAGGCAGGGCATTCATGATCAGCAGTGGGGAAGGGTATTTTTTTATCTTTTTGAGACGATCTCATGGATGTTAGGCTAGATTCAGACTTGCTGTGTTGCTGAAGGTGGCCTTGAACTTCTGGTCATAATCATTATTCAGGAGCTGGTGGTCCAAAGAAAGTCCCATTACAGCTGGCTCCTTTTTTATCTTAATATGTGTAGATCACACATACAATGTATGACAAGGTAAGTTTTAAAAAGTCACAGAGGGGCCCATGAAATGGCTCAGCATGTAAAAATGATTCACTTGGCTGGGCAGTTGTGGCACATGCCTTTAATCCCAGCACTTGGGAGGCAGAGACAGATGGATCTCGGTGAGTTCGAGACCAGCCTGGTCTACAGAGCTAGTTCCAGGACAGCCTCCAAAGCCACAGAAAAACCCTGTCTCAAAAAACCAAAAAAAAAAAAAAAAAAAAAAAAAAAAAAAAAAAAAAGATTCACTTGGGTTGTTCTGTGACTTCCACACTGGCATCATGACATGCATCACGGGGCCTGCCGTAGGACGTCTCAGCGGGTAGCTGCACTTGCTACAGTCACAGAAACATGGGTTTGATCCCCAGAATCCATGCCAAGCTGGAAGGACAGAACCCGCTCCAAGAAGTTGTCCTCTGACCCCCACGAGTGGGTGGATTACAGGCTTGTGCCCCATACCAGGCCCTCACTTCCAAGTCTTCAGGGACCTGGAACTCGTGGTCTCCACCTCACACCTGGTCCAGACACTGTGCCCAGCGCTGGGTCTCAGCACCATCACACTGACAGCGAGTGCCCATGACCACTCCTGTTCAATGTCTCTCTTCTTTGTTGTTGCTGAGAAAAGGTTTCATTACATAACTAAGTCTGCACTGGAACTTGATACTTAGTCCAGGCTGGCCTTGAACTTGGGATTCCTGAGCCTGCAGACTGCTGAGATTTTAGGTGTGCAGTACCATGCTTGGCTCAGCCTGCCTTTTTCATTATTCTTTTTCTTGGTTTTTGTTTTTTTTTTTTGTTTTTTTTTTCTTTTTCAAGACAGGGTTTCTCTGTGGCTTTGGAGGCTGTCCTGGAACTAGCTCTTGGAGACCCGGTTGGTCTCCAACTCACAGAGATCCGCCTGCCTCTGCCTCCTGAGGGCTGGAATTAAGGCATGCACCACCACAGCCCGGCTCATTATCATTCTTTACTACCTCTATTTAGGCATTTTTCACTTATAATTGTTTTATGGGGGAAAACATATCTATATTTAAAAGTAGCCAGCAGGGCTCAGTTTGGATCATCCCAGTTTTGCTGGCAGCTTCCAAAGCACCATGATGGGTAACCAACCAGCTTAACACGTGCCCTCTCTCCTTCCAGCCTGAGGGTGTTGACCTTGGTCACGTTGACCACACACAGCTTCTTCTGAGGCTGCTCAATCTGGACTTAACCCTGACTTCCATAATGGCCACTAACATGCCATTTCTTCTGGCTGCTCCATGGCTGACTCCAAGGCCAGGGAAGGCGATGAAGCTGGTCTCACCAGAGGACACTTCCTTCAATGGCTGGGCTCCTGGAAGATGCGGGATGGGCAGGTCATCGTGTGGCTGTGGCAGCCTTTTGGCATGAACTTCTTAGAGTTCAAAGCCTTCACTCTGGCTTTAGCTCAGGGCTGAAGCAGGAGGTAGGGGGGATTTCATCTCTGCTTTGGTGCTATCACCGAGAAGAGGCCCCAGTGCCTTTTTGTTTTGTTTTGTTTTGTTTTGTTTTATCATGTAGGGGTCCTTTTTCTTTGCATGTGTCTGTGCACCTTGGGGATGCTAGGTGCCTGAGAAGGCCAGAAGAAGGCATCAGGATCCATGGGAACCGGAGTTATAGACGTTTTAAGCTCCCAGGTGGATGCTGGGCACTGAGCCCAAGTCTTCCGAAAGAGCAGCCAGTGCTCTTAACTGTTAGGCCATCTTTCATTTCTATGTACTTTTAGTATGGGGAGGGTCCCCCATACCCTGGCCTGAATGTGGAGGCCATAGGATAACCTTTAGAAGTTGATTTTCCAAGAATCCAGCTCAGGTCATCAGGTTGAGCACTAAGTGCCTTTTCTTGCTTAGCCATCTTTCTGGCCCCAGGGTTTTTAAAAGTTTTCCTGGGTTGCTATGTCCGAGGTAGAGTGACTGCAGGCAGAGAGAAAGAGACTGATACCTTGAGGGAACACAAAGGAAGAGCAATCAGACCAGCTCCTGCCCATTGAGACCACAAGACAGTTATAGGAAGAACAAGAGGGTCATTTATCTCTTGGTTTTCAAACTTAAAACATTCCATGATAACACAACTCCCATCCATTCCTGGCTCCTCCCAACAGTGTGGAGAGGACAGTATACCACTGTGAACTTGTTATCCGGGAGGCATGTCATCACCAAGACTCCACTTAGCCTCCTTGGAACTCTGGAATGGAAGAAGGTGCGGTACGGGGAGCACAGAGATAGGCTCCATCAACTACTAGCCTGGGAGGCTTCATGTAAAGCATGCATGAGGAGGTCAGAGGACAGCTGGCATTGCTGGGAGGGTGCTCCTACTGCAGCCACCCAAGTGCCCAGGTACAGGCGTACATTACCATGCCACAGCAATTTCTCTGGTTCTCTCTTTCATTGTACCAAAACCTTTCTAGATCCAAGACTGAACACAGTGAATCACTGTAATAAGGAAATCAGGCACACACCTGTCTCAGCCTCCCCGCAAATCCTGCGCGCACGCGTGCGCGCGCACACACACACACACACACACACACACACACACACACACACACACACACACACGGAGGGAGGTTGTTTCCAAGGGACAGCTTTGCCCTTTCACTCAAGCCACAGATCACGCGCTGTGCTGCTCATCCCTCCAGGAAGGAAAAGAAGTCTAGAGAGCTTGTCTGAATGGATTTCCTCCCCTGTGGCTGCAGAGAACAACCTGTGCCTGACCCACTCAGGAGGACAGAAATCCCGTGGATCCCTTCATATGACAGTCGTATGTCAACTCACAAGCTGTAGGACTGACTGGGATGTGTCCACAAATTCCCCAGCTTCCGGGACTGGCTTGTTGATTTGATCCTTTCTTCCTTTTCCCTTATTTTGAGCGAATGCCCCCCCCCAATGCATCATCTTAGCCCATCCAGCCTTGGGAAGACCACTGAGGGAAGTGGTACGCTGGCTTCAACCTCCAGAGCCAGCCTTTTTCTCGTTATCATTGAACAGGAGGTTTTCTTATATAGCCAGGCTGGCATGAAACACACTGTATAACAGAGACTGGCCTTGAACTCATAGTAATCCTCCTGCCTGGGCCTCCAAGTGCTGAAATTACAGGCACGCTCCCTCACACCCCACTTATTTAGGGGAACAGGCCTCACCTCACAGGCCAGTTTCTCCTCCCAGGGGCTCCCTGGCTGAATGGTTCCTGGCAAGAGCCGGTGAGAAAAACCTGCCAGCTACTCTTCTCTCCACTGCAGGGCAACCTGTCTCATTCTCTGCTCCATTCCCATCTCTCCCAGAATCCAGGCCACCAGATGGCCTGAACAGACTGTGTTTATTTGGAGCCATGGAATTGTGAAGCCTCCTTTCCCTACATCCCGTGGGTCAGGCACAGGCTAGAGCCCCACCTCGGAGCAAAGACACCATGGCACAGCTGATTTCATTATTCACAACCCATAACCTGAGTCAATGTCTGGGTTGGCTTCCCTGAGCAGCTTATTCTGGTCACTATGGAAACGTCTCTGTTCCCACTGAGGTTCTGGGACTAAATCAGACAGGGAGGGACCCAGGAGACTCCTTCCAACCCAGGGCCCCAGAGGAATAAGTCAGTTGCCTATGCTTCCTAGTGCGAGTTCACAGAGTGCCTAGGGGCTGGTTTATCTCCCCAGGAATGCTGAGATGTAAAGGCTTGCTTGAATGACAATAAAGGCTTGCTTCAATGACAATCTCCTATTTCAATCAGCCAGTGTCCCGGAGGAATATCTAAATGATCCCAGGGGCATATTTTTCTAGGTAATGACACTTTCTCCTAGAAAACCAAACTCTTCATTACAAGCTAACCACAGTATTCCTAACAATTAGTGACACTTATTGGCTTCTACTTTCATTTACAGCAGCCCCAACTAAGTAATTTAGCCAGGGATTAGTCACCTTCAAACATCACTGGTTTTACCTGTAGTCTTAGCATCAGAACTTCAGCAATTCTGGGTTTCTTGCTTTAACACCAATATGAAATGGCTCTGCTTAATCTGATGTCTTCTGAATTCTGTTTATCTACTTCTCCAGCTTGTCTGGTCTAGTGGCTAGAACCCACTCTGCTTGCTTGGGATATAGCAGAGACCCTACATTCAATCGAGGAGACCAGCAATTACATTAGAAAATAAGACTGGGCCTTGCGTGGTGGTGAACAACCTGAAACATGAGCATCTGGGAGGTGGAGGCAAGAGGATCAGGAGTTCAAGGCCAGTCTGAGCTGTATAGGAAACCCTTTTCCAAAACACAAACAAAAGCCAGACCTGGTCCAGTAAACCCTTAATCCCAATGCTCTGGAGAGAGAGGAAGGCATCCTGATCTATATAGTGAGCTCCAGGCCATCCAGGGTTACATAACTGAGACCCTATCTCAACACATAATACATACTACAAATCAACCAGCCATTAAACTCAAAACTACACACACAGATTGGTTGATTATCTATTGACATGTCTGTCTGTCTACCCTTCTATCTGAAACAGGCTAGGGATGTGGCTCACATACTGGGAATAATCAAAGCTCAACAGGTAAGATTATTTATTTATTTATCTATTTATCTATTTATTTATTTATTTATTTATTGGTTTTTAGAGACAGGGTTTCTCTGTGTAGCCCTGGCTGTCCTAGAATTTGCTCTATATACCAGGCTGGCCTCGAATTCAAGATCTGCCTGCCTCTGCCTCCTAAATGCTGTAATTGAAGATATGCACCACCACAGCCTGGAAGTAGATAAGATCCCATTCACGTGTTTGGCTAAGTTGTTGGGTTCAGGTGAAGAGAACGGATTCAAAAAGAGAAAGGGGTGTTTCTGGGGACACGGGATCCAGGGTTTGTTTATGTATTTATTATTACTATTATTGTTGTTATTATTGTATCATTGTTGTTATTGTTACTGTTATTTTTGGTTTTTCTCTATGTAGCCTCGGCTGTCCTGAAACTAGCTCTGTAGACCATGCTGGCCTCATACACACAGAGATCCGCCTGCCTCTGCCTCTGCCTCCGGAGTGCTGGGATTAAAGGCGTGCGCCACCATCTCCCACCTATTTTTTTAGAACAGGGATTTACTATGTAACCACATTAGGCTAGAACCTGCCTTAGTCTTGAGTGCAGTGATGGGACTGCAAGGGAGCACCAAGCCAGACAGACACGGGAGTCTCTTTGAGAAGAATCTCCCGTAGGTGGCCGCTGTCTGCCGCTCAACCTCTGCCAGATGTCAGCTGGGTCCTTGCCACCACCACACCTAGGTGGCCAGACAGCCCAGAACGCAGGCGGAACTCAAGACGTGAGCGCACCATGTGGTTGCTGGGAATTGAACTCAGGACCTCTGGAAGAACAGTCAGTGCTCTTAACCTCTGAGCCATCTCTCCAGCGAGCTGGAACCTCGCTGCTCCCGCCGCCCGCGCGCTGTGCTCGCCGGGCTCTGCACAGACAGGCAGACGGCACCGGATTCCAGAGCATCTACAGCCTGGACAAGCTCTATCCCGAGTCCAAGGGCGTGGATACGGCCTGGAAGGTCCCGGTGAGCCGGGAAGGGCGGGACGGAAAGGGCGGGTCTTGTCGTTGCTAGGAGACGCCGGGAAGCGGGCCGCCCGGGGGCTTGGGTTGCTGCGA